ATATATATAGACACTTCGCAATGCTTATAGGCGAAAATGAACAATGATTTTGCTTATGTTCATTATCGTTTAAAGTTTTTCGTACGGTCACAATTGTTCGTTAGTGTTTCAATTTTTATTTTTATTTTACAAATCGGAATGATCTGAGATTTAGAGCGCATGTTCATAAAAAAATAAGAAAATTTAATAAAAATATAAAAAAAATAATTCAAAAAATATAAATTGATCAAAATTATCCCACAATTTATATTTTACGAAATATTTTTTTCATATTTTTATTTAGTGCATCTCACTAACGTATACCTATGCTCCAAATTTTATATCATTCTGATTAATAACAAAAAAATAAAAAAATAAAACATTAACGAACAATCGTGACTGTGCAATGAACTTTGGACGGTGAGGAGCATAGGCAAAATCACTGTTCATTTTCACCTATATGTGTTGGGAAGATTTTTCCATATGTATATATATAGGGAGTCATTGTTGTATGCCCATACGCGAATAGCCCAGATTGAATCTGGGCCATTATGTGGTCGATCTGATGCTCACGGATGTTCGATCGTGTTTGAATTTTAATTTTTTTTCTACAAGTCCCAATCATTTAAAAATTTAGGCGTGTGTTCTTCTCATCAAAACACACTTAATAAAAATCAAAAAAAAAAATAATTCGTGAAAAAAATTGGCCAAATACCTCCGGAGACTTTTGGGGGGTATTTTGATCAATTTATTTAATGTAAATTTTTTTTTTTTTTGATATTTTTCTTAGATTCGCTTAGTTTTGAAAAACGCACGTCTAAAATTTCAATTGATTTAGATTTGTAAAAAAACAAATAAAATTCAAATACTATTGAATATTTGTGATTGTTAGATCGGCCTAGATTCAATCCGGGCAGTGGGTGTTTACTGTAGCAATACGCGCCTTGGCACACATGATATTTTCCCATATGTTCATATGAGCTAGTCACGATCTGATAGTCACGATCTTATTTCGTATTTGAATTTTTATTATTTTTCTACAGATTTTAATAACTTGAAATTTTAGGCATGTGTTCTTCAAAAATAAGAAAATCTAATAAAAATATTAAAAAAATAATTTGCAAGAAATAAATTGATCAAAATACCTTTGAAACGTTTCGAGGGTATTTTGGTTAATTTAGTCTTTGTGAATTATTTTTTAAAATATTTTTATTAGGTGTGCATTAATGAGAAGAATGAACAACTAAAATTTCAAGTTATTTGGATTTGTAGAAAAACATTAAAATTTCAACACGAAATGAGGTTGTGACCGTTATATCGGTTATATTCAATTTGGATTGTTGGGCTCATATATTCATATGAACTAGTGAACTAATATCAATATTATATATATATATTTATTATGAATGTTATTTGGAATGCAGATGATATTGGCCTCAATGGATGCCCGACCTCACTGTCAAGGCTTCAGCCTTTCTTGGTCGTTGGGTATGTTATGCCCTCATTTTGTGTGTTTATGTTGTATGATTTCATTTCTTTTCGTAGCTCTTATACGGTCCTCATACTGCATGTCCAGTACCTTAGTCATAGCACCTGGCTAGTTTGTCTTTTTTTAATCTAAAATTTTTAGAACTGCATAGCAATTACTAGATTTTTTTTTTGAATTTTGAGCTTTGTGATACTGAGATCTAGTTGTTTAAAAATTGGACGGTCTCTATTGAATCTTGAGGCATTAGTTTTTATTAGTACAAAGAGTTTATTTCAATAATTTTTTTCTTGAGATTATTCTGTGGGTTGTTGAGATTATATCCCAAAATTTGAGACCTGAACAGCATACCTAGTATCTAGTTTCTGTGAGGGAGTAATTTATTTATTTACTCCAGTAGGAGTAGAAAATATTTTGGCTTCTTTTTAAGTTAACATTGAAACTGTAACGACTATGGACCTCGTAGAAAAAGATGGGTAGCTCTCTATCTCAGTTTTTTGAATGTTTTAGTAAATTTTAATAAGAGAATGAAAAGGAGTACATCAAAAGAAAAGAAAAAGAAATAAACAAACTAAAACATGGAAGAAAGAAAAGAAGAAGGGGGATTCAGGATGTAGTTCTCCTAAAGGACTAGAAGAGCATGGCTACACCCCCAATGGATCTGAGAAGAAGTCAAGAAGAGGATATAGGCAGCAGTGGCCTCTTTAGCAAGTTTATCCAAGACCATCGAGTTTGATCCATGTTTTTGCACCAAGAAATTACATTAGCTGAATCTCCTTCCACAATCTGATTTGTATAACTCGGATCCAATTTAGATGAACCAATTTTCAATTCCCACAATTCAGTTTCATTAACCCCACAATGGTGCAATTGATCTTGATAAGACCACAAAACTCCATTTGGATTCACTGAGTAAGCCACAACACCTCGATATTTGCGTCTCTACTCTAGTACTGCCATCAAAATTAAGCTTAATCCGGTAGTGCATGCTATAATGTTGATCTTGTATAATTGTGGCTTTTTAAAAAAGAGCAGC